GCCGGCGAGCAGAGCCTGGTTTGACGACGACCACGCCGACGTGATGACGATCGCATTGACCACCGAGCCCACCGCCGAGTATCCAGCAGTGGAGACCGCAATGACAAACGGCGACTGTGCCGCCGTTCCGGACTCGTCGTTGAGGCGCGGATCGTCCGACGCCACGAGCATGCCGACGACGAGCACGGCGAGCAGGTAGAAGAGCACGATTCGGAAGAAGACGCGCTTGCATGCACGCGGGATGGTGCGGCCCGGGTTGCGCGTCTCGGCAGCAGCCATGGCGAGCGACTCGATGCCGGCAAAGCTAAATACGGCGTTGGTCATGACCGACCAAAAGCCCAGGAACCTACCCCAGGCGCCGGTGCCGATGAACTCGACAAACGGACCGGGCATCTGCCAGTATCGGAATCCGACGCGCTCGACACCAGGCACGCCGCCCAGGTTGACGACCAGCCCAAAGATGATCAGGAACACCACGGTGAGCAGCTTGAGCGATGCGAAGGCGAACTCGACCTCGCCGAACACGCGCACGAATGCGACGCCGACGATGAACGTGAGGAGGATGAACACCATGATCCACAGCGACGAGTTGATGTCTGTCCAGTACTGGAACAGCACGCAGATCGCCGAGATCTCGCTGGGGATGGAAAGCACGTTGCCGTACACTAGATTCCAGCCCGCTGCAAAGCCCCACGCGGGGTCGTTGAGGAAAGCAGCATGGCGCACGAACGAGCCGCTGACAGGCAGCAGCGCCGAAACCTCGCCGAGCGCAAATTGTACCGAGCATACGATCGCGCCCACCACGGCGTATCCGAGCAGTGCACCCAGCGGACCGCCTGTCTGGATCGAGCCCGACAACGACAGGAACAGACCCGTACCGATCGAGCCGGCCAGTGCAATCATCGACAGATGGCGCTGCTCCAGCCCGCGCTTGAGATGTGCCTGCTCGGTCGTCGTCACACCGAGCTCGTCGCCATCGTCGGCGTATGCGGCGTGCACCGTCTTGTCGACCGAGCCGCCATCCTCCTCGCTGCGGAGCTTGCCGTTGTGCACCGCATCGTCCGAGCGGCCCGCGTGGCCCATTGCGTCTTGCAATCCGGACATGGTTGAGTACACCTTCGAGCGACGACAGGGATGGTTATGGTCAAAAGGCAAACTCCCGCAACCAGAGCTACAACACACGAACGCGGGAACAAAGTTGGGAACGCGATAAGGACGGCCGGCACAGCCCAGACCACTAACGAGAGAGCACGACCCAATCACGCGGTCGGCAAGTTTGAACCCTGTTGCTTGAGCTGCCCATCTGCTCCAGACTGGGTCGTACGACCCCCACCCCGCCACTCTTGATACCCTCCGAACAATTCGACGCTCCGCTTGCGTGCTATCTGCATCAGCCGCGGAGCGCAGTTCGAACTGCAGCAGAGTCCGCCCGCAGAGGGAAATTTTTTCATTTTGTTTGTTTTTCGTCCTCCGCGGGACACCGCTACTAACCGAGCAGCCGGCTCAAACTCCTGCCGCTTCCCGCGCGAGCTTATCCCGCCGGCCAATTTCACCCCTCCCTCTCGCAACACGTGGAGCCAAGACGATTCCTGAGCATCGGCACAATCGCTTTCGGCCGTAGTCTTTAAGAAAAGCAAGTGGTAAGCTCGTCAGATATATGGTGGGGGAAGACTAAGACGAGGCGATGGCAGGTGCAGCTTCGCTGGAATGATCGTGAGCCGGACCAGCTGAAGGGTCGTATGACGGCGACCCGATGCCACCGTCGGCATTCAGCTGCGCCGCGCGCAGATCCATGTTGCTGCTGTTGCCGGTGGCCGATGGAGACAGCACGTTGTTCGAGCCGACCTTGGACAGAGCATCGCGGCCGCCACTTGCCGACGTCGCACTGGCGCCGGTGCTGGCTGAAAGCTTTCCGATGTACCAGCTGGGCACCCAGCCGCGCGCATGGCCGTCACGTTCCTGCACGCAGTACGACCAGTGGTTGTAGCGCTTGAACACGCGCAATCGTTCGTCCTTCCTCAGGTCCAGGTCGCCTTCGGCGCTCTGGTAGTCCATCAGCATCACACCGGGTGTGCTCGTGCTCGTGATGAGCGCCGGCGGGATCGCAGCCCGCTTGGCATCCATGCGTGTGCCGTCGCCGCCCATGGTCAATACCGTCGGCGTGCTCGGGTTCGAGATGGTGCTCGGCCCGGTCCGCGACCGCGACGAGATGACCTCGGCGTCCACAATGCTGCCCAGTGGTCGGCTCGTCTCGAGCAGACATCCGGCAGGCACCCAGCCCGACGCGTACTCTGCGCGGTAGTTGGAGTACGTTGTCGTGCTATCGTCATCGGTTGGACCGCCCTCGCCCACCGGAACGCTGTACACGACGTCGCCCGACCCATCGCCTCCCGCATCTCTCTGAACGATCCACCAGCCCTTGGCCTTGTTGATCACGATAAATGTGTCGCCCACGTTGACGTCAAACTCGTCGTCGCGCTCGGGCATGTACGGGTAGATGGCCACGGCGTACGTCCTCGCCGTCTTGTTGCGTTCCGGAAGCTCCGCTGCAGGGCCCACTTCGACGGGACTCGAGGTGTTGGCGACAAGCGCGCCCGGCGGCGGCGTCCCTGCGATGATGCGACGTCGATCGGTCCTGACCGCCGTGCGCTTCTTTGCGTTGGCGGCAGCATCGCCGTCGCGCTCTTGCAGCTTGGATGCCGCCTTGGCCTCGGCGATGGCGATAGGCGACTTGACATCGCGGATGTGGCGAAGCATGAACACGGGGCTCTGCTCGTTCTCCTTGAGCTTCTGGAAGAGCAGCAGCGGCTTCTCGTCGTAGCTGAGGCATCGCTCCGTCTTGCCGTAGCAGATGAAGAGCGCGTACTTGCGCCAGTCGTCGTTGATCTTGTACTTTTTGAGCGCTGCAGGCAGGACCTTGTAGCAGGGGTCGTCCAGCGTGACGCGGAACGACTTGTACGGGTTGCTGTCGGACGAACTCGAGCTGGCCGAGGCCGAGACTGGTGCGCTGGCTGCGGTGGATGATCCAGCTGACGTGGTCGCTTTCGGCTTGGGCTCGTTCGAATCTGCCAGCGCAGCATCCTTGCGATCCTCGCGGTCGGTCGAGGAGACCGAAGCGCCATTTGAGCTGGGGCCGTTGGTGCTTGCAGGAGCAAAAGGAGAGGCCGCAGCGGACGAAAGCGCATTCGAAGCACCCAAGGAGCCGGCGCGCGGTCTCGATGGACCCGCAGCATCGGACTGCGAGATGGCATGCTGGTGGGCGAGACGACGAGTGGGGCTGACCATGGAGCCGGCACCGGCACTCGATGGTGGTTGCTGCTGATGGATTTGCGGACCCTGCTGTGGGAAGCCCGAGTAAGAGCCGAGCGAGGTCGGAGTGGCTGATGGCGTAGACTGTGTGGGCGAGAGGTCCGAAGCACCTGCAGGTGCGCCAGTGCTAGTCGGCGGGTGGGGATGCACGGTGGTCGTGGGAGTCATGGGCGAGTTGGCACCGATGCTGTCGGACCTGGCCGAGGTGACGGTGGCGGGCTTGAATCCGCTCATAGCGTGGCCAGCGGGATAGGTGAAGCCGGAGCGGGTTGGCGAGACGAGGCCGGTGAAGTGGCGCGAGGTGGGCGACTCGAGCGGGAGGCTGGATGAAGCGGTGGATCCCAGGTCGGGGTTGGAAGGATATGTCGACATTCCACTGACGCCGGAATCGGATGTTTGCTGCGAATGGAGCGAGTTGGAGACGAGCGTGATGGGGGTGTCGATGGAGTGCGCCTTGACGCCGACTTGCCTCGCGACCGAGGCCATGTCCTGCTGGAAGCGTGCCAGGTAGTCTGCGAGACGGAGGATCTGCGACTCGAGAAGACGGATGCGATCGTCACGCTGACGTAGCGCTGACGCCATATGAGCTGTGCTGAGTGTGTCGGATGCGTGCTCTTGGGCCTCTACAGCTTTGGGAAGCCAGTCTCCGTCGTGGATGGGGATGCCGAATTGGGTCTTGAGACGGTAGATGGCGGAGAGCATAGCGAGACGCTGGCCGATGGTGACGACGCCGATGTCCTTGAGTGCTTCGTCGTCGAGGAGCACGAGGACATCGCCGGTGATGCCATTGGAGATAAAGTCACGACCATACTTGGCGAGGCCGATGGTGGAGAGCCAGTCGGCAACCTGCTGCTCGGACCACTTGTTGATGTGGAGAGTTGGCGACGACTTTGGGCTGTGCGAGGTCATGTTGCGAGGGTAAGGTTGGGCGGTACGGCGGGAAAGCGTGCAAAATCGTGTCTAGTGAATTAGGCCGAGTGGCTGGGCCGGGTTTACTGATGCGATAGAGGGATCCGATCACGCGAGATTGTAGCCGACGGTGTATTCCATGTTGGCGCACAGGGATCGCAAGGTGGGCGGTGGAAGCGACGATGAGCTTGGATCCGAGCCCTAGGGGATGCCGTAGTGCCAAAAGACAGATCCAGCCAGCACGTGTCGAGCGGGACAACGCGTGGAGGCAGCGGAGGTGCGCCAGGGGGTGGCGTTGCAGCGGCAAGTACTGTGCCTCCTGCGTCGGTTTCTGTGGTGCTGTCAGATGGAGCCAGACAGGCAGTGATGCTGCTGCTGATGCGATTGGATGCGATGATGCGACGTGGTGGGATGGAAGAGACAGGGTGGGGCACAGACGCACTCGCCTGAACCCTGGATTGGCGGACGGCCGCATCAGCACGAGCCGCGCCGAGCCAACACTCGCTCTCGAGCCAAAAGTCGGATTGATTCGCCTCGCGTCTCGACTCGGCCTCTCTGGCTCAATTCGGGCTTTCAGCTGCCGCGCGCGTCTCCGCACCAGTGGGCGCCATCCTAACAGAGCGCATCCGCCTCCAAAACACACACAGAACTCACTCCTCTTGGGTCAGAACAACGAGCCGAGCCGACCGCATACCCCATCCGCAGAGAAGATGGCGACAAGCACTTGGCAGGCACTCTGAGGCGATTGTTTCTCTTGAACGTTCGCACATGCTTTCGTGGTTCTACAAGGACAGACTCGGGTCCACTCGACCCACCAAGGACGCCGACGTCGACGCCTTGGAGCTCGCCACCGAATTGGTCGGCCTGCGCCGCAGCTCCATGAGCGTCTCGTTGATGTACGAAGACAGAATGTCGTTCTCGCTCGCATGGTGCATCAGTTCCTCTTCCACGCTCTCCACTGCATCCAGCACGCGGTTCGCACTCTCCACCGCCCAGCTTGCGGTCGTCTCGTAGTCCTCCTCGTCTCCACCGAGCGCTGAGCCATCGGCGCCCTCGTCGGCCACATCCCCTTTTTCTCCCGCCTCCGATTGCTTTCCGCGCTCCGACGCTCCAAAGTTGGCCGGTAGCGGCAGTCCAAACTTTTCGTCGCCGAATCCTCGCATCGCCGCAGCGTCGGCCTGCTCTTCACCCTCACCGTCCTCCTTCGTGCCGGCCTTCTGCACTAACGACGCCGCTCGTCGGGTTAGCATGCGCAGGATGAGCACCGACGTGAAAGCGGGCCCCATCGGTGACAGCGCATCGTCGTTGCCCGTCGTCGGCGTTCGCGTAACGTCAAACACGTACATGCCCGGGTTGTCCACCGTGCCGTCCGAACGAGCCGCACTGAGGCTTACCTTGGCCTCACGAACGTTGCCGCTCGCTTGGGCCGGATCGGCCTTGTCCAAGGTGAAAGAGATCTCGCCGCCATCCGATTTCCTTCGCGCTCGTAGCGCCCGGGCGCCGTTAACACCCTTGCCGGTGACGATGGGAGCGGCCTCGCCCGTGTGCGTGGCACCCGACACCACCTTCAAGTCGTCATCCACCACAATGCCGAGCTTTCGTGCCTTCTTTGCGGCCGCGGAACCATCGGTCTTGAGATGGGTGAGCACGTGCGCCATGAGCACTTGCTGCACCTCCACCACAGCACCAGCGCCCGGGCTGTTCTTGACATCAAAGCTGCAATTCTTCCATCGGCAGCGTCCGTCGGCAGCATGCTCGACGTGCAGCTTGGCGTGCTTCTTTTGAGCCTCGAGCGTGTTGGTCTCCGGTGCCGGACACGTCGACCAGCAACACCGGCAAGGTTCGAGCTGGTCGCGCTGCCGCTCCTTGACGTCGATGCCCCGGATCACGAACCGCTGCGGCTGTTTCTCCTGAGCTGGGATCACCATGGCTGCCGCTTGCGGAAACACGGTGCTGACTGCGCGGATCAGCTCGGCTGCCGCCTGTAATGGCACGCCGTCGTTGTTCACCTGGAACTCCTCCTTGTACGCCGTCCAGAACTCCATCTGCGTCACTTCCCGCTCCGGGTTGCGTTGGAAGACCATCTGCATCCACGCGATGCCGCGCTCGGGCTCCTTGAGGCCTGCGATCTCGCGTCGTTCTCGGCGCGTGAGCTTTTTGCGTTGAGCACGCTCCTCGGGCGTCTCGCGCGCCAGGCGCATCTGCACTTCACGCGAGCGGCGCATCGCTTCGAGCTGGCGGTTCGGGATGCTCACGATCCAGTCCTGCGGCACTCGGAGCGGCATGACGCGCTCCCACATGGTGCGACCGAGCTGCAGATTGCGCGACAGGAAGCGCACGAGCGCGGCTGTTCGGGCTGTGGCACGAGTACCGAGGCGCGGGTCCGACCTGGAAGCGCCGGTGCGACCATTGCTTGCCGTAAGTTGGCCCGACGAGGGGGAACGGGGACGGCGAGAATCCAAAGAGAGCGCGGAAGCAATCTTGATGGCGTTGTTGCCGATGCACACGAGCTGGTACAGCAGGTCGAGAAGCGGCTCGAGCAGCTCGACGTCCTGCGTGACGGGCAGCAACTCGACGCAGCGCTGCAAAAGACCCGGAGACTGCTGAGCATCTGGTTGCGTAGATTCGACAAAGGCAGCTTCGTTGCGTTCGTTGGCTGCCATCGTACCGAGGCATCGCAGCGAGCCCAACAGGAAAGCGCGGTCCTTGGAATGCAGCGCAAAGGAGAGCAGCAATGCAAATATGTCGTCGCCAGGGGAGTTCGCACTGGTTGGCGGCCTGGCCTCGGCCGAGTGCGAGAGGGTGCCATTGGCGGATGGAGGGTTGGACGAGGCGTTGGGCGCGCGACGCGTGAGTACGACTCTGGATGCGAGGGATTCCAGAATGTCGAGGAAGTACAAGCGTAGCTCGGCGATCCCATCCATCTCGAGCCATCCATCTTCGTGAGAGGAGGAGCCTGTATCGTGCGAGGACGTGTGACTGACGCCGTTGCGGACGGCTGTGATTGGAAGTGAGAGGACATCGCGGATGAGGGCGAAAATGCCTTTGACGGCGGCCAAGCTGCGGATGTTGGCGCTGTGTGTGGCAAAGTTGCGCAGCGCCAGAGCCGCCTCAAGCGTGCGCCGCATGAGGATGGCGTGATCTGCATGAATGGCCGGGTTGAATGGGCCGGCCTGGATGTGTGAAGAGGATGCGTTCCTGGCGAGAGTTAGTGAAAGCGAGGAGCTGGTGGTGCCAGAGTGGCCTGTGTCGCCGGGAGCGCCGACACCCACGTCGATGGTGTCTGCGGGCTGCTCGAAATAGGACGCTGCCCATTGCGAGGCGGGCTGGTCTGTGAGAGCGGCGTGAGTCCTGCGCACGTAGGAGATGAGGGCGTCGGCGAGGCCGGGGACGCTGTCCAGGGTGAACTCGCGTGCCGCTGGGTCGCGATTGTTGGCGGTGACGTGGACCAGTCGGGAGAGGGCCCAATCGATCTGGACGGGCAAGCCCGACTTGAGCGATAGTAGAATGCGGTTGCTGGGGCCGGGCACGAGATAGGACGCTTCGTAGCCGTCGCCCACCAGTTTGGGCCGCTTGAAGGATGCGCTCGGATCAGCCGATGGGTGGGTCATCCGCGCGCCACCAAGATGTTGCGGAAGGCGTCCGCCAGGCATGATCGGACGTGCCGAAGGTGTCTGTGGAGGCTGCATGTGACGGGCGTGGGAAGGCAGTGAGGCGATTGGGCGGTGCAGGTTGGGATGGCCAGGCATCGGCTGGTGCTGCTGTTGCGGAGGAAAGTGTGGCTGCTGCATGCCCATGCCTGGGATCATCTGCGGCTGAGAAGGAACAGAGGGAAGAGGTTGGCTGCGAATGACGCTGGGGCTCGCAGCAGCGAAGGCGCCGCCCGCAGGCGACGGATGCTGCGGATACGACATATGAGGCGTTGGGCAGCCCAGGTGCGAGTGCTGCCAGATTAAATGTGGGGGCGAGATGCGGCGAGCCAAAAGTCGTTCACTTGGCGAGAGAGGATTCGCAGCGAACACCGATGCTGCCTGCGATTGTATCGAGCGACAATGGTCGTCACTTTGTGTCAGAGATAGTGGGGGCCGCACCTTTGCTTCACTGGGCCAGGATGGTGCGAGCTGGTGGGTGTGCGAGTGGTGGGGTTGAAGACGATTGTTTACGCGCGGATCCGACCGTCAATATGGCCACGACGGATCGCTGATGCAACGGCGTGGGCGGGGACGTGCGAGTAATGACCGTGGCTGAAGGGACGTCTGCCCGGGTGCGCAAGCTGCGGGAAGCGTCACCAAGAGGCAGAGGCGGGAGGCGAGTCGGCCGAGGCAAGCTTGCAAGCGCGCCAGGAAAGACCGAAAGGGGCGAGCGTCGGAACGGCCGGACACCAGACAAGCCAATGCGCGCGAGCGTGATGGATGGTGTGTGCTGTTGGAGGATGCAGAAGCGTTGGAGAGTCTGGCATATGCGCAAGAGCCTCGACCCGAGCGGAGACGCGCAGTGGGTCCGAGCCTCGTTTGTTCCGCAGTCCTGTCCGCACGCCGTTTCTTCTTTTTCCGCACAGGCGTGGCTCGCGTGTCGTGTTTGCGATGAATTTTTCGCAATGCACACTTGTTAGCTGCTCGGCGTAACACACTTTATCAAAAATCGACTCGTTTGCAGTACGGCGAGATTTTTGGGACAGGGTCCACCGTTCGTCCGCTGGTCCCGCTCAGGCTAAGTTGACCAGCTCGCTCTTGCAGCTCCATCACACCTCACCTCCACCATCCACCTCTCCCGATCGGTCAAGCGAGGATGTTTGACTGATAGACAACGACATAGCCATATCCGGTCTCAGCCATACAAGTCTCAGCCCACTATATTTACCGACGGTCGCGCCTCGGCGGCTCCACGCCCGCGAGATCCCATCTGGCGGCAATGTCAAGCAAGCGCCACTCTCCCCCGGAGTGACACGCAGGATATCGCGAGAAAGTCATGCCGTCTACATGTCCTGAGTGCGGCTCCCAAGAAACCCTCAGCTTCATCGCCGAGGTGGGCCAAGATGTATGCTCCGACTGCGGCACCGTCCTTCAGGATCTCCACCTGTACGAGCCTACCAACCGCTACGAGATCGCCTACGCCCTCGGCGGGCCCTCTGTTGAGCGCACCGCTTGGAACTCTCTCGAACCGCACCGCAATCCTCTCGTTCTGCAGCGATGGCTCTCTACAACCGAAGAGGGGCGCATCCGTAACCGCTACCATCGAAAGCCCGAAGTAGATGCTCGCATCTCGGGAATCTTGACAGCTCTTGGGCACCCGACCCTTTTGGACCAGGCCGACTTTCTGTTTCAACGGGCTCGCGAGATCTCCTGGAACATAAAGGACAAACCGCAAGTCGCATTGCCGGACAATGTAGAAGCTGCCGATGAATCCGAAGTTGCCGAGGGCGCAGACACGGGATATCAAGATCTACCGGCTCGATTCGTGCCTCCTCCGATCAGTTGGGGCTCCATGTCGCTTTACCTCGCTACTGCATGCTGCTATGCTGTCCTTCGCCTCCAAGGCATCCGCGTCGACCTCGAGACCGTCGCAGACGCCGCCCAGATCCCTTTTGCCCACGTGCGCCGCGCCTTCCACTGGCTCCGTCTGCTCGTCCGTGATGCCGTACGCGGCGTCAGACTCTTTGACCCAGACGTCTACGTGCGCAGAGTGCTCGCCTTCTTCCGCTGCCAGCTTGAATCCGCACATCCCACCCTCAACCCCGCCGTCCTCAGCTATCTCAAACCTCTTCAAGCGTCCGCCCTTGGGGACCGAACACACGAGATCTCCTTCGATCCAACTCGCATCCTTTCCAACACGCCTTTCGAGGCCGTAGAGGCGACGGCGCTCCACGTGTGCTCCTTCTGGTGGCGGCAGCGCCAAGAAGGTGCATCCAAGACTCGCTATGCTGCTTTTGCAGCGGCCGTCTTGGCCATGGAAGCGCACCTCAAGATGCCGGCGCCCCTGACCGAGATCTTTCGCCACACGCTCCAGGCACTCAACTTTGACGTGGCTCAAGCACATCGGTCCGATGCAGAAGCGAGCTCGGACAACCTTGGCAAGAGGCATGCCATGGCGCTCCACGCCGAGATCTGCGCCGCACTCCGGCTGGAAGCTCTCAAGATCCCCTGGCTCTCCGGTCTCGCTCCGATCTCTCAAAAGGTGCGCTACAAGAACCGCCGCAAAGCCGCCAACAAGGAGGAGGCCAGCGAGGATGGCGAGCCTGCCCCCGCGAGAATGACGGAACTCGTGCGTCGTGATCTCATCGTCCATGCAATCGACGTGCTGCAAGTGTGGCAGGCTGTGCAGGGCAAAGTCACAGCGAAGCTTCCGACAGCGACCGGAGCGACGACAGACACGCGAGTTTCTCCGCGCGCCAACGTTACAAGCCGAAAGAGTCGTTCGAAGGACAAGGCGCCTGCGTCGGACGAGGCTTCTGAGCTCGACAGTGACTGGGACGAGCTCGAATGCTTCGTGTCGACGACTCGGCATGCCGACGAGCGGGACGCCACGGAAGCGCTGAAAGCTGAGGAGGCTGACGACGACGTGGAAATCTGGCCGCGAATCGAGAAGCGCCTGAAAGCGGAAGGAATCGACACTGCCGCCAACCGCATGCACGGCGACTCGGCCGACGTCGCCGATGCCAAGCCGCATCCGATCGACTTGCTGACCGACGAGCAGGTGGACCGCCTGCTGTTTGAGCACGACGAGCTCCAGTCCATCTTGCGCACCGACCCTGCCGAGCGGGCTGCGGTCGAGCGCGCCAAAGTGACCCTGGGCGTATGGACGCAGGAATCCGAGTACCAGCGCAATGCCGAGATTGCGGCGCTCGCACGCCGCGCCGAGGAGGAACGCGAGGCGCAACACCAGCGGCACAGCGCAATGAAACGAGGCAGCCTCGACTCCACTGTGGCGGAACGTGCTGGGCCAAAGCGTCGCAAACAGCCGTCAAGCAGCCGCCAAGATGGACAGACGAAGCAGAAGAGCAAGAAGGGGCGCACCAGAGCGCCAGCTGCGGTGTCGCTGCGCGATCAGCGGGATGAGTCCGACTGGAGCGACTGACGCAGCAAGAGCACATGCTGTGGCGTGCAAGTGCAAAGTCACACGCCATTTTTGATACCCTAGATATCCTGATTGATTTTTTCGGCAACGCCGCAACTGTATTTTTTTTGATTTCTCGCGACTGCTGTCTTTTTCCAGTGCAGGTCGCTCGGTGGAGAAAGTGGGTCGGAGGAGACCGTGGGAACTGTCAGTCAGCGCCTAGTGTCGACAGCTGAAGCTCAGGCGCCCGACGGGATGCCACGATAATCAGCAGTTCGTATGAGGCTGGAGATGAGTAGTGCTGGCTTTCGGACGGGCCATCCTCCCAAGGGCTGAGTCAGGAAATCTGCGGCGCCCTACTCGACAGGTTGGGTCTGCCACGACAGCCCGTCGCTCCACGCGTGCATCTGCCAGCCTGGAGACACTGCGCTGCGGATGGCGGTAGTCAGCTTTCATCCCGTTCGCCGTGCGGGCCAGCTCGAACACTCACACCGATCGCAGCGACGTGCGCAAGCGGGCGGGAGGAGGCTACTGCCCTGAGTCACATCCCTCCTGCTGCTGGAGCAAAAGATGTCGCGGGCGGCTGTCGAGCTGGTCAACAGCGCGGAGCAGCGAAGGAGCAGAGGGAGGCGGTTCGACGGCTGGCTCAGTCGACCTGTGGCCAGCGCAAGCAAGACGAGGTATATACGCTCGCCCCCCTCCGACGTTGCATCTCCCCCCCTTCCCCCTCAACTCTCTGCATTCTTCCGTGCCGATTTCGACTTCAGACAGACAGCACCAACGACGAAAACTCCCCCAACTGAAATCATCAGCATGACCCCCACTGCTACGAACAACGGAACCAAGCCCACTGCGACGGCGGCGGGCTACAAGCCTGGCGAGGCGGATATGCACGCGCTCACGTGGCAGGGCAAGCGCGATGTGCGCATCGCCAATGTGCCCCGACCCACCATCACCGACCCTACCGACATCATTGTGCGCGCTACGGGCGTCACGGTGTGCGGTAGCGACCTGCACCTCTACTACGGCGATGTGCCCGACGTCCACGAAGGCGAGATCCTCGGCCACGAAGGTGTCGGTGTGGTCGACCAGGTCGGCGCCCAGGTGACCAAATTCAAGCAGGGCGACCGCGTGGTCGCCTCGTTCTCGGTGGCGTGCGGTAGCTGCGACTACTGCAAGAAGGAGGAATTCACCATGTGCGACCGCACCAACAGGAGCAGCAGGATGGAGCAGCTCCACGGCAGCAAGATCGGCGGCATCCTCGGATACTCGCACCTGCTCGGCGGATATGCGGGCACCCAGGCCGAGTACTTCCGTGTGCCGTTTGGCGACGTTAACCTTTTCCGCATTCCCGACGAGGTGCCCGACGAAAAGGCCATCCTGCTCGCCGACGTGGCACTCGCGGCCTATCACAGCGTCGTGGATATCGACTTCAAGGAGGGCGAGACGGCGGCGATCTGGGGCGCCGGTGCCATTGGCCAGCTCATTGCGCAGTGGCTCTGCAAGGTCTTTGGCGCCCGCAAGGTGATCATCATCGACAATGTCGCCCCGCGTCTGAGCTGGGTCAAGGACCGTCTCAACGTGGAGACGATCAACTTTGACCACACCGCCAACGTGGCCGACGAGATCCTTTCGAGGTTGCCGGGCGGTGTGGATGTGGCGTTTGACGCTGCTGGCTTCCGCTACTCCAAGTCGTTCCTGCACCGTGCCATGCAGACGCTCTCGCTCGAGACGGACACGCCCGAGACGCTCAACGAGGCCATCCGCGCCACTCGCAAGCGCGGCCGCATCAGCGTCATCGCTGATTACGCAGGCCACTGCAGCGGCTTCCTCATTGGCGCCCTCATGGAGAAGGGCATCACGCTCAAGGGCAACGGCCAGGCTCCCGTGCAGAAGTACATGGAGAAGGTGCTCAAACACTTTGTCGCGACGGGCAAGTTTGATCCGACGCTCATCTTGACCCACCGCTTTGCCCTCGATGACGTTGCCAAGGCTTACAGGGCTTTTGACCAGAAGCGCACCGACGATTCAACGGGCCTGCCCTACATCAAGGCCTTTGTCGAGACCAAGTACTCGAAGCCGCGCGCCGAGGGTACGCCCGAACTCGGCCACGTCCCTGGCGCTTGATGCGCATTCCCAGGCTCGCTGTGGGTTCATCACGCTGACTCGTAGCTCGCGTTGCAGTTTTCGGAATGGAAGTTTTGGCTCCTGCACTGCGTCGCGAGTGCCGCTGTCGTAAGAGCTGCGTAGCGTGAACGAGAGCCGAGGATCGCCAACGCAATGTCGGAAGATCGATCCGAAGCGCTGACTGAGGCGCACAATTCTTCCGGCGCGGTGGTGGCGCGCGTGGTGACTCAAGGGTGCAGTCGCATGCATACTGTGTTTCCAGGTGGAGGATCATTCATCAACGCCGCTTCCTCCACCGACTACGGACCGACCGCTGTTCCAATATAAAGCCCATTCACCTCGCCACCGCCGACCACCCATCACAGAAAGCTCATCTCGATCTACACCTCGGAACACAATGTCGAACCTCAATATGTCGTCGGGACCGCAGCAGGAAGTGGCGGACACGCTGCCGAACAACTACTCGCTTGGAGGTGGCAATATGAAGGCCGACCCCAAGGTACCGATCAACACGATCCCTAACCCAGAGGCGGGCAGGGACGATGTCAACACCGGCGGTCGTGGAGGCGATGTTTTGCGCCAGCCTGTTCACGCACATGTAAGTACGCTGTGCTCTGGCCCGGTCACCTTCCGACTGTGACAAAGCTGACACTCCAAATCACATCGGATAGGACATCGACATTCCGGCAAACAAGCCGCACCTGCACGCGGGTGCCAACGAGACGCATAAGCAGATCCACTCGTCGCACTCTGGCCCCGGCAAGCCCTGATGTTTCCACAGCAATGCTATCTTGCCATTCGCAGACTGTCTATCTTCCAACCATGTCGGGACTTTATAGGCGCCAGCGCATTCCCACTTCGAGACCGTCCTGGAGGTTTTGTGCCGGCTGCGAGGACGCATCGCTCTTGCTACCTGCGACCTGCGGGTCAAGTGCCATATCGCTGCTGTCGCCAGCAGGCAAGCCGAGTCCACGGCCCTTGTGATCGACCTCCATAAAGTTCGGACGGAGGCGCGTGACGCTAATGTAGCCATTGAGGATGGCCCACACGTCGGTGCCCTCCGGCAGCTGCTTGGGCCCAAGCAGCGACGCCATGTTGGGAGCAAAGTGGAGCAAGTTCTGAGGTGTAGGTGCCGTGGCGGGTTGAGGTGCAGGTGGCGCAGGGTAGTTGGCCGTGGTCTCGGCGGCGAAAAGCGGACCGTAGCGGTTCTCCCAAATGCGAGTCCACACGACCTGAGGCTTGGCCACGGTCTCGCAGAGCGGCACGTTGATGCTGTAGCAGCCCACCTGGGGCTCGTTGTGCCAGTTGTCGTAGAGACGCTTGATGAGGCCGGCACTGAAGCGGTTGGCCTCGGCGGCTACCTTTCGCAGCTCGCTCGCCTCCAGCCCCGGTCCGCGCGCCTTGGAACGGTCGGCAAACGTGGGTGGATTGGCCATAAAGTGACCAAAGGAGACGGCGATGCTGCGCACACCCGCGAGCGAGGCCGCAAGCGCTGCACCAAGCGTTCCCGACGAGAGCGCAAAGGCGG